TTTTTTTTTTTCATATATCGCCGATTTTTAATTACATTCATACACGTTTGCGTAATCGATCCACAGTGAATCACGTGCGACACACTTTGCCCGAACTGCTCACGCGAATGGCAGAGAAAGATATGCGGGAACATCTTCCACGTTCGGTAACCGGTTGCAATATGTTATATCTGCCAAACATTGGCTACGTATTGGCGATAAACAAATGGGATCCAACCCCACCCGAGGACGTTACTTTTCCAAATTTGGAATTCAAATTCAGCATCAATCGGGTTCATTATTATAAAAGCCCTTCGGCGAGAGGTCGGTAAATTTTCCATTTCCATCTCGAAGAAAGGTATCTTTATTCGTTCGTTTATTGTTCGATATATATATTATCGTTCGATCGATTGTTTCAGAGTTGGATGAGAGCGTGGGTGACATTATATTGAAAATAGCCGTTCGACAAAATCACATCGTGCAAAAGTTGATACGTTATACGAAGAAACACATGGGGACGATTTTAAACGCGATTCAACTCTGTGCCGAGTTAGACACGTAAGCATCCATTGGAAGAATTCGTTCGAAGATAAAATGTCAAATTAATATTAAACGATCGAAACGATTATAGTTTACTGGCGTTCTACAAAGTGGCGCGTGATTATAATTACACCAAACCGAACGTAACGAAGTCGAAGATCATAGACGTGGTCGAAGGGCGACACCCATTGATGGAATGCGCGACAACATTCGTGCCGAACGATATACGTTCCGGGAACGGGAAGAGTTTGATCAAAGTTATAACGGGGCCAAATTCTTGCGGCAAGAGTGTATATCTAAAGCAGATTGGCCTTATAGTGTTCATGGCTCACATAGGTTGTTACGTTCCTGCAAGATCCGCGACGATAGGCACGATTTCTCGTATCTTGACTCAAATGTCGAACACGGAAAGTATCGGGTTGAACGCGAGCTCGTTTCTACAGAATCTTCGACAGGTAGAGAAATATCTCTATTCTTTCGAAACGAAGGGAAAAGGATCGAAACGAAGATACGAATTTCAGATCAACGTGGCTTTACACGCGTCCACCTCGGATTCGATCGTGATAACGGACGAATTGGACAGAGGAACGTCCGAAATGAGCGGATTATCGTTGGTAGCGGCTATACTAAACACATTCGCTGAAAGAGATTCGGATTGTCCTCACGTATTTGCTGCGACGCATGCGTATGGCGTACTTGCACTACTTCCCCAAATTTCTTTAATTGAAATTCAAGTAAGAATGACGAATCTCGACAATTGCTTCGTTAAAAGTATAGAGTAATTTCTCTTTCTCTCTCTCTCCCTTTCTTTCTCCATTTCCTTTTTATCGTACAGACATTTGAATACACGATCGACGAAGATGAATCGTTGGCGTTCCTCTACCGATTGACTAACGGTAGTACAACACGCAGTTTTGCACATTACGTGGCGAGACTCGCCGAATTGGACGAAGATATCGTTAAACGAGGATTAGAGGTATTTTATTCACTATTCCACGATATACGAAACGTGTAACGATAGAATTGATTTGATCGTTAGATATTTGAGAAGATGAAACGACACGAATTAGCATCCAGTATATATAATCATCACGATAGGTAAAATAGTTTATGATAAAATTCTTACATTTCGCGGAATCGCGGAAAAATCGATGGTTACGAGTTTGTTTTCAGGTTGAAAAGAATCGCCGAGCGACTCGAAACATGGAAAGACTTGGATTTGGATGAATTGAAAACGTTAGTTCGACAAGCCGTGTTTCCACAATAATTGTATAATTCAAAATGATTAAAATATCAAAAAATCATACGTCTATTACGTTTATTATATTATAAAACGATAAATGATCGATTCAAAAAAATTAATTGTATTTATATCAATCAATTAAAGTTCAATCCTCTTAGTGTTTTTTCAATTTCATAATTTGATTTTTATTTCATCTAGTTTTATCGTATACGTATGTTGTAACGTGTTGAAATATGGCCGGTAATTGCGAAAACGGCCCATAGATGGGAGAACGATGCAATTGATCGAAGAGAAGAAGACGCATCGTGACAGATGTCGCGACGATAGCAGTCGACCGAAAGTTGGCGCTCGCAGTCTTTCCGTTATTAATAACGGACACTGGCAGTATCCCGGCACAAAATCCCGGAAACATCTCGTTCGTGAAATTCAACGAATCTCCGAATGTAATTTCGAATCGTTGTGTCTTCGTTTTGGTGTACTTTCAAATTCGTGGAAAGAGAGTGTGCCGTCTCGTGGATTACACGTCGTATCATTTTAACGAGAATTCGCGAAAACGGGCGTGCCTTGGACAATCGGCGACGTCCCTGACGTGAAAATACACAACGGCGAGAAGTGGTGGACAACGACAGCAAGACATCGATTGCGGTTAACATTGCGACAAAAAGGACTAACAGTCCATAGAGGCGATAAAGCAGAAGAACAAAGAAAAGGGAAACGAGGAAAATAGAACCGAACGGCAATAGTAACAGCAGCAGTGGTAACAACGGTGACGGGAAGGGAAAAGTACAAGCTACAACGGTGGAGAGGAACGCGATACAGCCGCGTGATTTTGAACGCGAATACAGACGTAACTGTCAACGGTCAGATTTGAAAGTCTCGCAAATTGCAGGGTCCTCGTAAGGCTTCCCTCGCTAGAATCGTTGTATTTTCGTCACGTCAACATCGTTAACGTCGTGTCATATTGTCGCCGTCTTTGTCGTCGTCGTCGTCGTCGTCGTCGTCTACGTTGTCGTCGTGTTCGATCCGGTGAAAAACCGGTCGTCTTATAATATTAACCACGGTGTGAGAACGCGACTAAATGACCATGGACCTCCGCATGTACAACATCGAGACCGGCTACAGTATAAATATCAAAAGGACGGACGGTGAGTAACGTATCTCGTGGAAGTATTTTTAGACATATTCAGACAGCCGATCGCGTGCGCAAAGCTTCGCGGCTAGTGCCAACGAAAATCGAACACGATTGCGAGGAGATATCTCTTCGATCAATCGGTCTGACTTTTCAGCTTTTTTTCAATGTCAATCGATATACGGAGTAGTTGTATCTCTCTCATTATGACAATGTTAATCAATTTGGCGTAAGATTTAATCGAACACCGATGCATCACGAATTAAACAGGTCGATCATTACCATTCTCGTGAAAACGCGAGAATAATCGTAAATACTACGTTGTATAATGTATTATGTATTTCCCCTGAATCGAGCAAACGAACAGAGCACATCCTACTCCTATCGGACCACGCAGCCGCTGCACGTTGCGTGTACAGCCGCATCCTTGAATCGACGAATTATTCGAATATAAATATGTAGTGGACATCGCGATATACGCGCTAAATGTGAAGAATTGATCGAATAATCTTGATATGACGAGTCAAGGAATCGAAATGCAAAATACCGGCATTATATCGATATTTTTCGATATAAATTCATATTTATAAAAATAAAACTATAAAAATGCAGAATTAATCTAATATATGCATACGTCTATACGAAAATATCAATTAATAAGTAATTATTGTTGATTAAGTGAACTTTTGTTTGAAATTTTTAAAATATTTTTCTATTAATACGATTTCGTAGATATAATGCCGGAAATATGAAAGAGAAATAAAATTTTCATTTCTATACGTAACAAAATTCCATTGTTTTCGATAACTTCACTCGTGGGATTTGTGGACAATTGCTTCGATACATATTTATAAGTATACATACAAGCATTGATCATATTTGATCAAGTTACAAGTCGTGCAAAGTTTCGCAGAAATTATTATACAGGGGAAAAATGAAAGTCGGAAAAAATATTGGGGAATTATTTCGATTCGATGTATGTATTAGATAGTTTCGATTAAATTTTATCGTCGTAATATCATTATTAAAATACTGGTATCAAATCTCTGGTACTCAGTTGTCCTTGCATTTCGATACTAACCTTTTCACGTGCCATATTTGTTTTCTTTCTTTCCTTATTTAAGCTCGACCCGCGTGTATCAGTAGAGAAATTCCATACACGGATACTTAAAGTACGTAGCGGGGAGGACAATATTGGACATTATCATTCCTTAAGTTTTTATTCGTTCTTCGTTTTTGTTATTCGTTATTCACTTATCGATCTACAGTCGACGACAGGTAAGCGAAGGAAACAAGCTACAAGCGAAGGAGGGAATTAAACGCAAATAGGGAATAAGAAAAAACGTCATCTCAACGACCGTCAAATAATTTTTTAATTTTTATCGTAAAATTATTTATATTTATATATAAGAAGATTTGAAACAACGATAAATATTTATCGTATATTAATTTTAAAGGGAAAATTATTCGAACCTCGAGTAAATCTATAACGTATATGTCAATGTTTTTTTTCGATCAGATAGAAATTTTGTGCAGATAGATTTATTAATCGACGAATGTGCGTCGCATTGTTGTCGCGTCTCGCCGGTGCGACACACCACGCGGTACTTTTCTACCAATTCGCTGTCGCCTTTTTGCTGGGCGTGCAATAAGGAACGAAGGTTCGATTCGGTCGAAAGATGAACGGATAAATATCCTTTCACCGTGCGTTTCTCGCGCTCGACGCGTGCAACGAGACCAGAACGAGAGCTACCATCGTCGGCAACACCTCATTCGAGTCATTAATCGCGTCCCTCTTACGCGCTCTAAATGTTACACGACCCTAGAAATATCTTTGGAAAATTTTCGTCCAACCTTTTTCGGTTCATCTTTGCCGATTCGCGCGTAAATCCGAGAAAAGGAGGCGCTATCTAACGAGTAGCACGCGAACACTCGGCTTCTTTTTCTCAATCGATCCAGCTCGTGTTTCGGGCCAAGAAGAAATCGAGAGGAAGCAATTCTATTTGC